GTCAACTGGAGAGTAACTGAACCAGCTCTCCATGCATGAGGCTCACCTGAGCTGCTCATAGACTGGGATTTTCTGTTATCTCCAATTACGTGTCTGTGACAGGTAATGTAATATAAACATAAATTCCCTTTAGGTAGAGCCTTCTTCCACCCATTCCCATGGCAATTCGACGGGGGAGCAAGCACTGTTTTAAGTAAGACTAGGAGCACTCGTGCCAGCTTGGAGTAACGATTTTGGGGCTGGTTCCAGCAGCGAGCGGCAAGGCTGCCATTCCCTCCCCTTTGCCTATTGTTTGCATCCAAACCTGATTGCAAATTGACATGAGCCGTCTTTGGGGAGCTGCTGGTCCGGCTGCTCCGTCAGCACAATGAGCCGTTGTTGATCCGGCCGCAGCAATTTTCCAGGTTAATTTATGGCCGCCACACCCCATTAGCGGCAATAAATGTGGAGCCCGGTTTTGCCGAAATTGTGAGTTACGATTTTTCAAATAAATACATTTTCCTATAAACCAGTGCTCTGTTTAGTTTGAGTGTTCCTCACAGACACATCCATCTACATAAAATACACAGGAGAGGAAGCTGAGCTGTGACTTTGCTCTGATGACATAGAAACTTTTGTAAACACAATGTCACTTACAGTACTAGCAAAGAGAGAGCCCAAAAAATAAACAGTGAGTGCCTGGTGCATCCCTTCAGGAGTACATGGAAAATTTAATACTTTTTTCCGTAAGGCTTTGTTTTCCTTTTGATTTATCCACGCAGGACAGTGGCTGTTTGGCCATAAATAGATGGTATTTCTGGAGGGGCAATGGTTGCAGTCATCCTGTATGTCGCCGGAGGGGTGGCGTGGGAGGCGTGTGGGCAGAGAAGATGCTGCTGAGAACAGGAGCATCCAGCCACACCACTGTGTTCACCCTCAATTCCTCCTGCTCCACTAAAGTGGGGCTTTGACAGAGTGAATCCCTCTTGGGGTTGCTTCTGTGATGCTGGTGCAGGATCAAGCAGCCCAGTGATGTAGTTTGGAGGACTCGGGCAGTGTGTGGGCACTGGAGGGCACAAGCACGAGCAAGTGTGAGCTCCCCTGCACCCCAACACTCCCCCACCCCTGTGAGACTCAAGCTGGTGCAGCAGGACACGTGGCAAACCCTGACAGGGAAGAGGGATGCCCTTAGTGGAGTTCTGCAGGACAGCCTTGACCGTGACCCCGGGGCTGAGTTTATTTCTGATCGAAATGACCAAATTTGATTTCATTCACTTCCGCAGGTTCTCTCCCTTTTCACATCACCAGGAGGGAAATAATCCCCCAGAGCAGCCTCCTGCACCTCTCCTTGAAGCAAACTCTGCTCGTGCCTCAGTTTCCCAAGGCTTTTTGCCACTGTCTCCCAAGGCCTCCAGGAGCAGAACTGTTAGGAAGGTGCTGAGTGATTATTATTGTATTATTCCAGGCAAGTGCTATAAATACCCAGGGGCACCTTTAGACACAACCCAGCTGCCCAGGGGAGCTGGCTCAACCCTGCTCTGTGCCTGTGGTGGTTGAGGAGGGAATCGAAGGCAGTGGCTGGTGTGGAGGTACCTTGGGAATAAGCTGATGGGGGGACATGGTGGGGGGCTGTGGGGTGTTGGGGATGAGACCTTACCAGCTGCACCCCAGGGCTGCAGTGGAGCTTGGGGTGGGGGGGATGTGGGTGCAGGAAGGTGCTGGGATGCTGAAGGGAGATGCTAACAAGGAAGACAAGGGGAATATTTTACAGGGCTGCAATGTAAACAGAGCTGGAGCAGAGCCCCTTTTTATGGAGTCCCTGTCCTGCCAGGGCATCTGCCAAGGCCCTGATTTACGCTCCTATTTAGATAAGGGAGCCGGAGGGGGGGAGCAGAGCTGGCGTCAAAGTCACAGGACACCCGGGGCTGCCGCTCCCCGGGCGCTGATAAGGAGGTGGCTGAGGGGCCGGGGCCAAAACCGCAGCTCCCGTCCCGGGACAGGGGACGGGTTCAGAGCTTGATGGCTCCTGCTGGGGTTGGGGTGCCGGGGTCCACGGAGACCCAGGATAACCTCACCCCCAACATTCAGCACTGGCCCCCTCACCATCACCTGGCCATGGGGGCAGGAAACCTTCCTCGGAATGAAAGCAGGTGGAGGTTGTTCTTCCTGCCATCCCAGTAAATTGCCCAATCTGAACTGCTTGGCACTTTCCCCCCATGCAAGTGGGGAGATGTGAAATTAAAGAAACTCACCAAAAGTTTGAGACGTGCTAAATTTGGACGCCATGACAAAGGCAGTCTGGTTTGATTTAGAAGGTGTCGGCATGAAAAGGGCTCTGGTTTTATTATTTTATTAAAACACGAAAGATTAGAATGATTTTCCAAAGGAAAATCAACCCTCTGGTCCCATTATTTGCTCAGCTGAGCACTTCCCAAACTCTGCAGGGTGCAGGGACCTCCGTCAGGGGGTGGATAAAGCAAGATAATGCCCAGGCTTGGGCTGGGCTTACCTGGCTCGGTGGCCAGAGGCTGGAGGTGGCTCTGGTGCACATCGTGAGGTGACAGCTCTGAGCTGGACATTGCTGTGAGTGGCCTGTGCAATGCAGGGCTAAGGGCATGAAAGGGGTATTTTTTGGGAGGGGTGTTTTCTAGAGATGGGGTTAAGTGGCACAGACTCCATCGTGCCTGCTTGCTGAATCAGGGCTTTTACAGGGTTGAGGAGAAGCTCAGTGAAGAGCCTGGCTGGTTTGTAAGGGAGAGCAGGGCTCCACAGGTCTGCCAGCATCGGGGGGTGAGGCACGAAGTGATACCCCTGAACCTCACCCAGGTGGGCACTGGCTCCCACCAGCTCTGAGCTGGGCTTGGGGATCCCACCCAGCCACGGGAGTTTTGAAGGAAATCGGGGACACGACGCCCTACCCAAGGGCTGACTCTAACGGGAGAGTAATCACTAGCAAATGTTTGGAGGGCGTTTGTTTAAAGGGGGTGGAGAAGGGGGGCTTTGCAGCAGCTGAGAACAAAGCGGGGGGAACAAAGCTGGGCAATCCGGCACGGCCGCTCCCCCCCAGACGCCAGGGCCCGGCAGAACCGGAGACCCGCTTGCACCCTGCCCCGGCCCCCCCAGCCTCCTGCCTTTGCAACTCGCCTTGTAACAACTAACGATGGAAAATCCGAGGCATTTAAGTGGCTCCCGAATCCACCCGGGAACCGTGATTGAGAGAAGTCAAATAAAATTTGTCATCTTTAAAATGCAGGAGGACGTTAATGGTGTGTTAGCCCGGATGATTAATACAAGCGCCTGCAAACAACCCTCCAACGTTTCCACCCTCCGCTGCAAGATGAATCGCTGGAAAGCGCCGTTAATCGCTAACATACCTCGGGCCCAAAGCCCCTTCCTGCCCCGCCGTGCTGTGATCGCCACCGCCGTGCCCAGCCTGTCCTCACTGGGAGTCACTGCGGCAAGAGCAGGGGTCGGCCCCAACCCCACCCGGCCGGACTGGGGGTGAAGTCCTCCTGGGAATCTGTCTCCCATGGGTGCAGAGACAAGTGGGATTGCTGTCCACTGCAGGGCCCCACACTGGGCTTGGGTTTGGGAGCTGCGGTGAAATACAAGATCCTAAACCCAGCGGGCTCCCCCCAGACCTTTCGTGACCAGGCTGTGACAGGGAAACACAGGGCAGGTCCCCACTCTCCTATCATAAATAAGTTTGTGTGTGTGGACGGTATCATTTTAGTGCATTTATGTGTCCATGCAGTGTCTCTGGATGGGTGTGCAGTGTACACACGTGTGTTTATATGCCACACGTGTGATATGTGTGTGTGTGCAGTGTGTCTGTATGTAATATACATATGGTGGCATTGTGTGTGCGGCATCTCTGTGCTGCTGGTGTATGTAATATATGTGGATGCAGTTACATGTGTGTATGTGTGTGTGTAACATGTTCGTGGTGTGTGTGTACAGCACAGATGGTTGTGCAGTGTATGCAGCATCTCTGTCTGCGGTACCTGTGAGAAACACATCCAGTGTATTTCTGTGAGCAGCACACAGCCACGGTGTAACCACACACATGTGCAGGGAGCATTTGCACAGCGTGGGTGTGCTGTACACTCCTGCAGTGCACATCTGTGTGCAGCTGTGCAACCCATGGAGCAGCCGTGGGCCATGAGCCCCATGTACCTCACACCCCATCCCTGCCATCCCGAACCCCGGGGGTGCCCAGCCCGTTTTCCCTTTGGTGCTTTCGCCCCCTCCTCTCCCCGGCTCCCCCGGTTCCCCGGGTGCGGCCCCGAGCTCCCCGCACTGCCCAGCCGGCCCCGCCGCCTCCCCGCGCTCCGCTCCCACGGGGACGAGCCTGCCCCGCGTGGGGAGTGGGGACTCGGCTCTTGGGAAGCAGAAAGCCCCCGGGGTCACTTCGGCCCCGGAGCGCGCACACGGCCCGGCCCGGCCGTCGTGGGTCCGGACACCCGCGGCTCCCCCGCCCCGCTGCCGCCTCTCGTCCCCCGCCGGAACGCGGCGGCTTTCGGGGGGCTCGGAAGCCCCCGCCCCGGGAGCGGGGATGTAAGTGCGCCGGGGCGGGGGCGGGGGTCCCCCTCAGGTCCTTCTCATCCCCTTCTCCCTGCAAGCAAGGAGCAGGCGGGGGACGAGGGCAAGCGGCGGAGGTGTGAGCCCAAACCCCCGAGCCCGTAGCGCGGCGCACGCCCCCTCCGCCGCCCCGCTCCCCCCGGGGCCCCCGAGCATCCTCCCCTGCCCACTGGCTCCGCGGCGGGGGGGCCGCGGCCCTATATAAAGGCAGGGTCTGGAGGCTCCAGAAGGGGTTAAAAAAAAACCAAAACCAAACCAAACAACAAACCCAAAACCCCAGACCCCGACCGCCCCACCCCAAACCCCACAGCAGCCTCCACCACCGCAGCCCCGCGCCGGAGCCGCGCTCCCCGCTGCCCACCGCGCCCGCCCGGCGGGGAGCGCCGCCCGCCCGGCCATGGAGCGCTGCTGAGCGGCCCCCGGGGCCAGCGGGGCGGACCATGAACCTGGTGGGGGGCTACCAGCACCACCACCACCACCACCATCACCACCACATGCTGCACGACCCTTTCCTTTTCGGGCCGGCGGCGCGGTGTCACCAGGAGCGCACCTACTTCCCCGGCTGGGTGCTCAACCCGGCCGAGGGTACCCCAGAGCTCGCCGGGCAGAGCCCGAGCTACGGCCCCGCCGAGTACGGCCCGGCCGGCCCGGGGCGGCTGGAGGCTCTCAGCGGCCGCCTGGGACGGCGAAAAGGAGTCGGGGGACCCAAGAAGGAGCGGCGGAGGACGGAGAGCATCAACAGCGCCTTCGCAGAGCTCCGTGAGTGCATCCCCAACGTGCCCGCCGACACCAAGCTCTCCAAGATCAAGACCCTGCGCCTGGCCACCAGCTACATCGCCTACCTGATGGAGGTGCTGGCCAAGGACAGCCAGCCCGGGGACACCGAGGGCTTCAAAGCCGAGCTCAAGAAGGCCGACAGCAGGGAGAACAAGAGGAAAAGGGAGACGGTAAGAGGCGGACAGGGACCTGCGTCCCCGCTCTCCGTGGGCCGGGATCGGGAGGGGAAAGCCCCGTAGCTGGGGGTGAAAAAACCTCCAAACTCTCCCAGTCCTACTGGAGCCTTTTTTTCCAGCGTAAAAAATAAATAAATTAAAAAAAAAAAATCCGTAGAGGGAAACTCGGAGGAAAATAGTCCGCCCAACTTGCCCGGAGGGTTCCCGACAGGCCGGAGAGGTTCCCGGGCGCTTTCCCCGAGGGATTAGCCGCCGGGACCGGGACCGGCCGCGGCGGAGCCTCCCCAGGTCTGTCCTTCACCTCTCCCGGGAGCTCTCCAGGGAGGAGCAGGAGCGGGAGTGTTTCGGAGCAAAGGCAGCCGCTTCTCCCCCTGCTGCAGCGGGTGGGTGGGAGAGCGGGGACCCCCAAAACCGCTTTTTATCCACGGGCTGGTAGAGCCGCTCGGAGCCGCGGGGCCCGGCTGCAGCTCTGCGGAGGGCACAAGGGTCGGGCGGGTGGCCCGGGACCCCGCTCCGTTCCTGACCGCTCCTTTCTCCCCCCTCTCCCCATCTCCTCTCCCGCAGCAACCCGAGGTCTACTCGCAGCCTCTGGGTCACGGCGAGAAGAAGCTGAAGGGCCGAACGGGTTGGCCCCAGCAGGTCTGGGCTCTGGAACTGAACCCCTGAGGGCTGTCCCGGCGCCCCGACGGCGCTCCCCGCTCGCCCCTCCATGTGCAATGTCGGAGATCCTGGCCTGGCCCCGGAGTCCATCCAGGCGCAGGATGCGGGGACCTGGCCTGGCCGCCCCCCTCCCGGACAGATGCTCCGCGGGAGAGAGGCGAGAGCGCTTTGCGGGGCCGGGTCCTGCTCGCCCCGCCGGCAGCGGGGACCGGCCGGGTCCTTTCCCCGTCGCTCCTTCCCCCGTTTGCAGTAATCGTTGCTCCTTCCCGCTGCCAGCAGCGATCGGCGGCTCCTGCCCTCCTGGGTCGGGCTGAAACGGTTCGATTCGTTTGCTGTTGTAAATACGAGTCCCCGACCCCTTCCCGACCCTGTCCGCTGCCTGACTAACGTGTGGGTGCGGTGAAACTACCTAGAGGTGCATTTGGGAACACTCCTGTGCCGGGTTTTCTACCTCAGATCTGCATGACCACTTCCCGAGGGACCGGGCGCGCCACACCACGTATTTAAAACTGAATAACTAAAAAAAAAAAAAAAAATTAAATAAAATAAAATTTAAACTTTATGCAAACGGTCTCGGGTCCGAGCCCTCTGCCTTCCCCTGCTCCGGCAATTGTGCAGTTGCAGCCAGGCCCCCTGCGCCGTCCGCGGGGCGAGGGGTGCTGCGGGATTAAGGACCCCTCTGAAGTCAGTACTCTGCTGTGGAGCCGATCCATGCGAGGGAATTCCTCCCCGGGCGCCTTGGGCAGCTCCGTGGGATCCTTTGGGACTCGTTTGTGCCGTGCTTGCTCACCCCAGGAGCTGGCGAGGCTCTACAAACACGTACCCGCAGTCTGTCCCAGGCCACGAACTTTGCCCCTGCCCTACAACCCCTTCCCTCCCGACTTAGAAGACCTACTAGAGGAACTGAACTCGTATTTGGCCTGGGGAAGGATGGCAGGATCAAGCCTCTACAGCGTCCGTATGGCACGAGCACCGGTGAGCTGTGGAGTGCCACTTTTATTGCTGCCACGCAGAGAAGCAGGACTCGGCTGCCCTTCCCTGCCCAGGCAGCTCGCCCGGCTCTGGCACCAGGAGCACTTTCTCCCAGGGATCCCCTCTTAGGCGCTGCCTTGGCCACATTTTGAAGGTACAACATCCCCTCTTCGCCATCCAAATGCGATGGATATCACGAGGCTCAGACATACGAATGCTCACACAGCCTAAAGTCATCTCTGCCACCTCTCAGGCATAAACCCTTAATAATCCTTAGTAATTAAAGCCAAATCCTCATTCCTTTATTCTGTGCACTCACGTTTCTCCTACCAGAGACTACCAAGACGTGTGTGCACAGGCTCAGGGCCTGATCCTGACTTCCCACGCCGTTGTTCCCAGAGACACCAGGATAAATCCTTACACTCGTCCGCTGCTCAGGGCAAAGAAAACCAACACAGGGAAAACTTGTACATTATTGTAGGGCTAATCTGAGAGCTCAGCAGGGAGCTTTACATTTGCTATTTGAAACCAAGCTTTTGATTGCGACCAAAGGTGTAGAAATAATGATGCAGCATCTGTAAAACGCTGACATGTCGGTCAATCTGCTTGTGCAGCCGCACACACCGAAAATACCCCAGCTCACCCATGGGGAAGCAGCTTGGGTTTTACAGCAATTTTGTGCGTGTGTACAAATACAGACGGACAGACACACAAACTTTTGGGGGTCTGGCCAGCTTAATTAAATCTTGATGAAGGATCTGGCTGCATGAATCAGTCTTCCCTCGCTCCAGAGCCGCTGCAAGGCTGCCTTCCCAGCCCCTGATCTATTTTCCGATCTCTTTGAGGTTGAGATAAAAATTGACTGCCTGAGAGAAGCAATGCCCGTAGTGGTTGGTGTTTTTTTTTTTTTTTTTTTTTTTTTTTTGTTAGAGCTATAAAAAGTTTAGCATGGTACCAATTTCAAGAGTAAAGTTAGAGAGTAGGGCATTCGTAAAACCAAACTCATTCAGGGGAAAAAAAAAAAGAAAAAGAAAAAAAAAAGAAAATGTACAGAAAATCAGCCCCAACTATCCTATTTTATGGCTGTTTCACAGTCCCTTAAAGTGCCGGGTTTTTACGGGAAAGCTCCTAAGCCATCACTAACACTGTAATCCAGCGCCTCACAAATGTATGGAGCCCCAGTCTGTTTACGTGTGCCAGCCGGTATCCCTGTATCCATACGGCACCAGTCGGGGCTGCCTCTCCGCAATGAATGAGGGAAAGGGTTAAATGGGGACCTGGGACTTGCTTTGCTTCGTGAGGCAGGGGCGACTCTGCACAGGAATCACGTCCTCGGTCCCGGCACACCAGGCTCCATCTGGAACATCGCCCGCCACCTACGGACCTTTTACTCCACCAAAAACTTCCACTGTTTTTTTATTTTACGGTTTTCCAGCTTTGCTTCTGGGAAGGGGCACCCTGCACCGCCGGGCCGATGTCCTGCATGCATCCGCAGGAATTTTGCTTTTCTTACCACAGGTTTCTGCTGGTGGTACCTGCTGGCTGCAAACTTCTAGGGAAGGTGTCCCCCGTGCCAGCCTCCCCTGCTCCTTCGGGATTTTTCAAGTGAAAACGCTCTCCGTTTCCACGGCTGCAGAGGATTTCCCTGCCCAGCAAGGGGGTTTCCGTGTGAGATATTGGCTCTGTGTTTTAGGGTAGAGTAGGTAAAAAAAAAAAAAAACAACAAAACAAGGCACTAAATATTTTCTGTAGCCAAGGACTTCCCTGTTCCCCAGAACGCTTTGGAAGGGCTGTATTTCACGGGAGCGGGTTCCATCCCACCTCGACACCGGGCACGCGGTTCCGCCGCGCCGGGGCCGGGAAGGGGAGTCCAGGCTGAGCTCAGAACCTGTTCCAGCCTAGGATGGGGTCACTCCTTCACCCCCAAAGGGAGAGGAGCTGCAGGGGAGTGGGAGCCCTGCACAGGAGCAGTTTCCCTTCCTCCGGCAGCGAACCTGAGCGGCTGGGAACGGACTCTCGGCAGCCTCTGGCAGAGCTCCCGGTGCTCCCTGCACCAGAACCGACTGGAAGAAGAACGGTTTGGCCACCAGCTTGGAATTTTTGGCTATTTAGGTGCCTAGCTCATCGGTCAGGGGAGGTGGCCCTGCACACACCTACAGCGCGACCCTGCCGTGAACTTGATGCCGTTGGGAAGCAGCTCGCTCCGGGCACGCCGGCTGGAGTCGGCAGTTGCCTGGACAGAAGCACACGCGCGCCGGGATCGCTTGGCCCGGGGCAGCATCATACGTGCCATGTTCCCTGCCGCTGGAATCCAGCCACGAGGGACGGTGGAGGGGACTCTGATGCCTGCCCTGGCCAAGGGCTGGGGGAAGAGGGGTTGTCGGGCACTTCCTAGCTCTTGCTCTGCACCCCTAGGGTTTGCTGTGCAAAGGAATGGTTCCTTTTTTGCCTTTTTTTGTTGTTGTTTTTCCCCTCCCTTTCTGCCAAGCCCAGATCCTGCTTCTTGTTGTTGTAGGTATTTATGGGCCTGTTTATCTGATCTCGGGGGAGCCTATTCTTATCTCAGAAGCAGCAAGGGAAGGGTTACACTGGACAGCTCGGTAGACAGGATGGAGCCAAATAAAATACCAATCTGACAAAAAAAAAAAAAAAAAAAAAAAAGGAAAAAAAAAAGAGAGGGGGAAGAAACACCCAGCCCCAGCCACCCGCTCACCCACGAGCACGGTCCAGGCTGCCAGCTGGATTTGCCAGCCCCAAAACAGCTGCTGGGTTCAGGCAGACAGCACAACACTGGCACAGAGCAGAGGAGAGCGTGGTGTAATGACCCTGAAAGATGGGAAGAAAAACTAATTAAAAAAGTTTCAGGTCGGTCTTACGGCCGTTCTGTTGTGATGCTGCTGTTCGCTGTTTCCTTGGGGTGAGCACAGAAATGTCCCAGCTCGGGCTCAGAGGCACAGCCGGCCCCAGCCTGGCAGGGACTCACTCGAGGTCATCCCGAAGGTCACGGCCAGGGCCAGCACTGCTGCCTCCCGTCAGAGGGCCCCTCTGGGCTGGCCCCAGCCGGTGACACAGGGCTGGGGGAGGTGTGGGACAGGGGCAGCTCCCTCCGGACAGCACCCTGGCAGGGAGCAGCAGAGAGCCCCACCTCTGCTTGGCCTGTCTGGAGCCCAGGCACCCAGCAGGGCTGGGCCAGAGTGAGTAGGATGGGATGGGATAAGATAGGATGGGGCTCGGTGGGATGTGCTGTCCTGCCATGCCAAGCAGGGGAACAAGGGCAGCCTCATGTCAGGGGTACCCCCAGTCCTTGCCCCCTCCCTACCCCACACCCCACTAATTACCGCTCGTAAGGAAGCGCCTGCTAGTTCAGGCCACTTAAGGTAGCCCCAGCCCCTCTCAGTAAGGGGAATTGGGCCATAATTTGTTTTCGGTGTCAAGATGGCGTCAAAGATAAGACAAAAATCTCCAGGTTTGGGGGCTAAAGAGACAGGAGAAATCCTGACCCGGGGCCGACCTCGGAGGAATGGCCACAAACCCCAGTGAGTCACATGGCAGGTGAAAGATTTACTGCCAGGGGAGCTTTTTGATCCTCTCCCAACACTCGGAGCCTCTTAGCCCAGTTGCCGGCTCCCAAGTCAGACTGTCTCCTGGGAGCACTGCTCAGGTGGAAAGATTTTCTATCCAGCTGAGGCCCCCCCCCCCAGATGCAAAATTCATGACATGCAACAGTTCTTCCTCAAATTTCTGTGCTCCTGGAATCATGTGATTCTGAGATTCATCTGAAGAGAAGATGCATTTCTAATCCATAGCTGTAGAAATTATATCCAAGCATGGGAAGACTCTGGAGCCACAAGGCAGATGAAGACTCTAACTTTTTTACTTTCTTGTTTTTATTTTATTTTCTAAACCAAATCCAAACTCACTGGGTTTTCACCCCTCTGGCAGTACCTGCTTGGGACTGAGCACTGAGCTCTGCCCAGGGTATATTTTTCCATGCAGCTGTCCTGTGCTGCAGTCCTGTCTCCAGTCCTGTGCTGGGAGAAGACCAAGAACCCTGCACCTTGAGACAATTTCCCCAAGACCGTTCCTCAAACAATGGACAAACTATCCATCCCATGTCCCTACCTCTCCAAAGCCAACCTGCATTGCTCCTTTATTCCAAGAAGGCTCTTCCCCCAGCGCAGAGGGTTGTGAGAAGTGTGTATTTACTCCTTTCACAAGACTTACATGCTTGGAGTGGGGTTAGCCATGGTCACCATGGTTTTCTGCAGAATGACCTGTCCTCATCCTGCTCTGTGGACAATCACCTTAGCAAGGACCTTCTCTGGCAGTGCTGATGCTTGGCTGCTGATTTTTCACTAATCTTCTCTCATGACATCTCAGCACAGCCCTCAGGTGAAGCTGGGCGGTGTGGGGTGGCACAGAAGCCCACTTGTGTCTCACACAGCAGCTGGATTTGAGATCCAGGATGGAAGCTGGCTGGGAGCTGGTGGAGCACCAGTGCCATACAGCTCAGGGCAGGACTCGGTGCCGTTCCCACAGCTCTGTGATGCTGGACGAGCCTCTCCTGGTTACTCCAAAGCTGAAGTGCAATAACAAACCTGCAGATCAGAGGGGCCCAGGAGCCAGATGGAGCTGCTGGAGCATGAGTGGGAGGCACAGGCTGGGAGGAGGGTGTTCACTGGTGAGAGGGGAGTGAGGGACAGTTACCCAGGAGGCTTGAGCTGAGAGACTGCAGAGCAAGAAACCATGCTTGGAGCCTTGCTGAGTCCTTGTGACAGATCCCTGAGGTGGGGAAGGCCCTTGTTTGCAGTTTCCTCTTCCCCTGCTTCTTCTTTTGCGTGAGGAATTCAGGTCCTGACCACCCTGAAAGACTTTACAGTAACCAGAGTAGGGGAATTTATGGCGTCACTCGTGGCTGAAAGCTGAGGGATTGAGAGGAAAAGGGTTTTTTTTCCTTAAACTGGAGCTACCTTGACAAAATTCTCATGGCCTGTGACTGACCCGCAGGAGCAGCTGAAGGGGAAGTGGGGACCAGAGCAGGCTGGTTTAATTGCCTTGGCCAGGAGCTCCTTCCCAAGCTGAGTTGTGGGAAGGAGTTATGAGTCTGAGTTAGTGCACAAAGCTTGTGTCAACTCTGAAATTCCCTCCTCTGCTCACCTCCACTGTTTGGCTTCTGCTGCTTTGGTCTGCTGGCTGATGGAGAGGAGGAGGGCAGGCTGTGCACTGGGACTCATCAGCTTGGCTCCAACTCGAGCCTGGGCTGCTGTGTTCAACAACTCACCTGACAAAATGCCCAGGAACCAAGGCAGCTGCTTAGAGCTGAACCCACACGATTCCATACCCAATGCCCTTAAGGATCTTTTAGATTTCTCGGATTGTGGCATAAAAAGGTGGGAAGGCCCTTGTGGAGATACCTTTGTTGCCTTGGGGAGTGATGAAGGACTTGGAGAGATGGGCAGCTGAGAGGAGTGGGGAAAATAGGATCAGGAAAAGGAGAGAAGGGAGGAAGACAAGGATTAGCCTGGAGAGGGACAGCATCTCCCTGGCACTATAGTTTGTCAGTACCCAGTGCTACCACTGTGCCAATGAAGGCCTTCAACCTGCTTTTCACCCCCAGGAAAAGGGAGCCAGAGAGGGCTGAGGTGAGTCAAGGCCAGCAGTAGTGAACCAAGAGCTCTGCATTTACAAGGGAGTCAGGGCTTATGGCCAGTAAAGTGGAAATTGCAGGAAAAAATTAAACAACTTGGTTCTGTTGGAAAGGTGGACTGGACAAGGAAGAGCTCAACAGTCCCATTTTGGACCAGTGGGATGCTAATGGGATGCCCATCACTGTGCTCTCTGGTCCCTGGCAGTCCATACCTGTGGTAGGAGAAGCAGCAGAGCCATCTCAGCTGCCTGACACTTCCCTCTTCCCCACAGCACCATAGTATTCCCTGCTGAGGGTGCTGTGGTGATCATGTAGTGCTTCCTGCAATACGTAAAGGCAACAGATCTTGCAGAATATTCCCCCCAAAATTAAGTAAAAGCACACTAGGGGTGTTTGAAGTACTTACAGAAGAAAACAGCACTGCCTGCAAGGGTAAGAGGTGGGAAATTGACTCCAGCTCCTGGCAGAGACTGAGTGCTCGTGGAACTGTGCAGTTATCCCTTATTGGAGAGAGGGGAAACAAATAAATTACAAAAACAAACAAACAAACAAAAAAACCAAACCAAAACAACACCCTGAGGCTGTCCCCCCCACACTCCTCCTGCTCAACCACATATCTGAGACACAAAACCATTAAAACCACATTCACATTTTTCCCCAGTCCTCTGTGCTGCCCTCTCTGCTGGGGAGAGCACAAGTGATGCCTGGTTTCCATCAAGGCTGCGAGGAGTCCGCAGGGCAGCTCACGCAGAGGATCGGACGTGTTCAATTTCAATGTCCAACCAGAGGGGAAAAAAAAAAACCCAAACCCAAACAAACCATTTTTATGATCTCCACATCCCAGCACAGCATAATCCCGCTTCCGGTCTCTGACAAGCACAGCCAGCTCCTGCCGAGGAGGCATTTTTGGGATGGGGACACGGCCCTGGTGCCCCTGGCAGCTGCCCCGGGTTCGGAGGTGCAGCTGCCGAGCACCCACCTCCCGTGTTCCTGAGCTAACACTGCCCTCACACGGCAGCCGGCAGTGCAGAGAGGGATGTGCAGTTTTCAGCTCATCAGATCAATCTGCTGGTTCCTCAGTTTCTCAGTGTGGTTATGTTAAAAAGACTGAGCAGATTCCGCCTTGGTTTTGAGCTTCTTCTGTGGGTCTCTTGGCAGGGAGCAAACGTGAGATTAAGTCACATTATTCGTTGGCCTATGCAAATAACAGATTAACTGGCAGCATTTATTTCTATTACAAGTTACCCTGGGATGCAGGATGGGGTGAGGGGGCAAGTGTCCCCTACAAGGGCCACAGCAGTATAAATAGGCATATTCCCATTGAACAACAATAAGGAGACAGGTCTTTTGATTGTAGGACACCACCAAGGAATAAGGAAGGATACAGGAGATGTTGTGGGATTGTTTCAGGGAGAATTATCTGTGCAAATCTCTACTGCACATCAACAGTGCTCACAGAATCACAGAATATGTGGAGTTGGAAGGGATCCACAAGGATCACTGAGTCCAATTTAATTTGACAGTGATAAATTCTGGCCTTGTATTTTAGGTATAAAGCTTTCAACATTCAATCATTCTCCTCTGTAAGAGCCCAACTGTCTGAAAAGCTATACTACTTCTTTCCTGGCTAAAAATCACGGGTAAAGCATGACTCAAGCCAGTGCCAGCACAGCTTTTGGAAACGCCATGACAGGGTTCAGAATGAGTACTTAAGTTTCTGGCATCACTCGCTTCTTCACTGCAGCAAAAAAGTGAGGTACCTTTATCTGTAAGGCTGATGGTCATGAGGAACCACAATTTGGGAAAAGAAATGAAACAAAGCACTTAACGGGAAAGGATCTTGAGCACTGGGATGCTACATGTCAGCATTGCTCTGGTGTAGCACCCACCTTATCAGCTGGACATGCAGCTTTGACTCTGGACAACATGAGCCATAAGTCGTGTAAAACGAAGCCAAGGCTGGGCTTGAGAAGCAAGCAGAAGCACAGGGCTGAACTAGACATAAAGAAGACTCATTAGGAAACATGAATCAAATAAGAAGCCACACTTGATTGACTGGAATGATACTGGAGGGGAGGATCCCTATCATAGAAAAGCCCAGCACTCCAAAATGCAAGGTCACGTGGTTCTTCAACAACCTCCATCCTTCTTGCGAGTTGTGTTTTTGTTGCATTCAAAAGACTCCATGAATTGCACCTGTACAACCCACGTGAGTTTATCACAAAATATCTCATCAGTCGAATTTTCTGCTCCAGGCTTGGCATTCCCAGTCAGCAGTGCCATTCTCTGCTCTTTGTTGGCAGTTTTCAGCCCTGGGGAGGTGGGTGGGAAAAGATGGTGAATCTCAGAAGTCTGACAAAAAACCCCAACATCCATACAAAGCAGAACTCCACTGACTCTGGAGTCATCAGTGCCAAGGGTAGAAGAGCAAATAGAAGGGAATGTAGGCCTTGTTGCTAGATAGATCATTTATTAAAGTGAAATTCAGCATCTTATCTTTGTCAGACAGTACAGAGTCAAAGTCTCATACACAGTGGAAGCAGGACATTTCCTACACCTCAGAGAAATGAGTTCTACAGCTTTTGCTATAAGTTACTAAGTTGCTTTAACAATACACAGCTATATTACACAGTTAAAAATACAGGGTGTCCAAAACATTTGGCATAAGATCAGCACAACACATGGAGGCCAGAAACAGAAGAGGGAACACAGTTTTTCTCTCCCAGAAAGCCTGCCAAAAGACTCCAAACCATTCTGCAAGTTACCTGCTACCCATCTCCCCTGCACCAACCAGCTGAGGAGCAGAGCTGTGGGTAGGACAGGAGTAAACCCAGCCCTGTTAGGGCTCAGAGGCTCCTGGAGCCTGCTGATGTACAGGATGGCCTGCAGAGCTGCTTGCAAGGGAAGTTCAGGTTTAAGGCAGGAGCCTCCCCCTCTCCCCATACTTTCTTCAAGCATTTAATTCATCCCAATCAGATGTGTTCACAGGCAAGTCAAGGGATAGCTGTGAAAAGTGCAAGGAATATCTTACATTGTAACAATTCATTTGCACTTCTAAAGTGGGAAATGAAAACTCCCTAACTTGATAAGCTAGAGATGGCTAAAGAACATCAGTGACACGAGGAGTGAGGCATCAATAACATTCCTTCACCTTTGGGACTCTTCAGTCAATAATCTGGGCAGTACAGGGACTCCCTCTGGACGGGAGGCCACCTTGTACTACCCGTTCTTCTAAACTGTAGAGGCAAAGTGACTCTAGTGCTCTAGGGAAGTACCTCCATCTGCCAATTTAAATAAACAGTCCCTCAGCAGACCCTCCCCTCCTGCTGCAGTTACTGCTGAAGATCTCCCATTGGTATTTACATTTGGCTCAACCAAAAGATGTAAAGTGCACAGCTCCCCCTCCTCCCCCTCTCATAAAACATCCATCACAAGAGCTGATGCAGAACAAATCGTCCTCCATGCTGCTGCCTGTGGAAGCGTGTTTTGTTCAGTCTCTGTGGGCCATGTCCTGTTTCATACTCTCTGTGCCATCATGACCCACATGCAAACTCCCATTAACTGTGGATTATTTCAGCTCTTGTATTCAGAGCCTCTCTGAACCCAGCCTGCACTTTAGACTCACTTGCAATGCCAGACTTGATGTGTTTTGGTCAAGTCTTGCACACTGGGATATCTAGTGATTTACAACCACATTTCTAGGAAAAACTGGGACCCAAAATGCTGGGGACAAGTGGTACAAACCTGCCCGCTCTGCTCTTTTCAGGCTGAGCATCTAAAGTGCCTGGCAAAAGAAACATTACCTTTTAATGCAATTGTGTACTTCAGGTTGATAGACAATAACCTTTGAGATTCAGAAATTTTGAAAACTGCATTCTAACACAGCCTCCTTGGATATATTTGCACTTTTCAGCCATCAAGTTGCCAACAACTTGAGTCCTTGCATGCTTCCAACTCCCTTGAGCTGAGCTCAAGCCCGTAACTACCAGCAATGATTTCTTCTTCTTCCCTTGAAGTGAGCAGAGGGTCAGCATACAGGATGAAATTAACCCCAGAAGAGATGTTTCTGCATTATTTGGATTGCATACTAATGGCTTCGGATCTAGTCAGAACTCTAATTAGGTTAATGCAGCTCTTCAATGAGAATTGAGCTAGGCTATGGAATGGCATTAGGCTATATAATGGCTGGAGACCTTCAGACATGATTCCTCTGCCCCAGGGTGAATGTCACCTATGCAGGCTTGTAAGAAATAAGCTTCCACTATTATAAATAGAAGATGACATCTAGTCATCCTCCATGCCCCCAAGGCTTGTGCTCCATGGTTCAAAGCTAGACAGAATTTAAGGCCCATCTGTGAAAAGCAAAATGCAAAAGGAAAAAAAAAATCATCTTATCATACCAGCCAAAGCGATTTGGGTCTTACACCTTTCCAACAAGTCCCATCTAAAAGTGCTGAGAAAACGTCCCACCTCATGGCTTCACAAGTGTGAGGTTCAAACACATCTACTTCGAAGTTTCAAACAAAAAAAGTTGGAAAGTCTTTTTTTCTCAATTGGCATGCAGCATAAGGAATCGAACACACAGCACGGTATTGTACACAACGACAATTGCATTGTTGCGTTTTCTGGTTATTAGACATTAAATGCTTTTCAAGAATCACAGGCACCCTGAACATGGATATTGCTACTGAATTGACGTGTGGTTTTAGTTCATAGCATGGGAGCCATCAAGTGGCTGCCCCTTCCAACAAGACATCGGCTTTCTGTTGCTCAAGGCGTTTTGCTCTAGCTAAGTTGAGAACAAGGTAATAAGGCATTTGCAAGGGGTTTATAAGGCCATGGGGTCCGACAGCCAAAGATTCTTCTGTTTCTTTGGTGTCTTGCCTCCAAGCTTTCCACCTTATAAACAACTGCTAATGGCTGGTAAACATCTCTTCATCATCACACTTCGCCAAGAATATTTTTCAAAAAAGTATAATTGCTTTAGAAGTGAAACCAACAAGGATCACATTTCACATCAATTGACTATTTTCAGGAAAAAAAGAAAAAAAAAGTTTCCTGGATACCACCTCTGCACAAAAGCATTCCAGTGAATACACCTGAACAGATGGAACCTGCCACCATATTTCCTTGAAAAGAATCATTTTGCTGATGGCTACTAAAGCACCCCAACAGATTTATTTACTCTTAGAAATAAAACAAAATAAAATACAACAACAAAAAAAGTAAATCCCAAACAAACTACATTTTTACAGTTTTGGTCTAGAATCACAGAGTCAATTAGGTTGGAAAAGACCTCTGAGATCATCGAGTCCAACCTATGACCGAACACCACCTCGTCAACTGGAACACGGCACTAAGTGCCAAGTCCAGTCTTTCCTTAACCACCACCAGGGATGGCGACTGCACCACCTCCTTGGTGCAGTCTGATCACCATTCCAATGTCTGATCACCCCTTCTGTGAAGAATTTCTTCCCAATGTCCAACCTAAACTTCCCCTGATGCAGCTTAAGATCACATCCCCTTGTCCTGTTGCTGGTTGCCTGGGAGAAGAGGCTGACCCCCACCTGGCCACACCCTCCTGTCAGGGAGTTGCAGAGAGTGATGAGGTCACCCCTGAGCCTCCCCTTCTCCAGGCTAAACAATACCAGCTCGCCTGGCTGCTCCTCACAGGACTTGTGCTCCAGATCCTTCACCAGCTTCACTGCCCTTCTCTGGAGTCACTCCAGCACCTCAATGTCCTTCCTGAATTGAGGGGCCCAGAACTGGACACAGGACTCGAGGTGCCTCACCAGTGCCAGGTACAGGGGAAGAATCACTGTGAGGCATAACCCTCTCAGCTCAGAAACTCATTTTCCTTGGTAATATCCTCTGATGACATGAGCACTTTGCAGACTAACGTGCAGTCAGAGAATGTACCCTTTCAGTGATCTGTCCCGAATGAGAGAAGCCGGATTGTGTTGACTGATGTGGGAATTACTCCACCCTTTCAATAAGGAAAGGATCATCATAATTAGGAAATTTTTAAACATTCATGAAATACCAACACAAGACATTCTCTCCTCATTCCTTGAACCTCTCTTGTCTGATGTTCCGTATTGAATCGAACAAGGAAATGCTGAAACAATCACACTCCCCACACGTCACAAATGGGACGTGTACCATAACAGAGTATTTCTGCATATGACACAGGATTCAGACACACTGAAATTTGTTGAACATGTTTCTGGAGTATTAGCAAACAATTCAGAGTGATGTGAACAACTTGCTTTAAATTGTGACTTGAGTTTTAAAGAGACTCTGGGAGAGCTTCAACAAGAGCTTCACTAAGTGAACCCTTCATGCCTTATGAAACACAATCCAGTATTAAGCTGGGACCATGACCTGTGTGTTTAGCTCTTCAACAAAGCTCCATCCAGTTTTGAAATATTAAAACCTGCCATTTACAAAATGTTAGCCGAAGTTTTCTACTGCTCAGTTCGTTGCTTAAGGCTTGTTGAGAACATCCTCTCTATGTGGAGTCTTGGCATCTTGTACCAGAATGGAGACATTGGTTAGGACAGCAAAGAAACATACTGGTGCTTTAAATCATGAGGTCCCCTGAAGAGAATTTGAGGTCACTGGAGAACAGTCAGTCACGATCAATACTTTTATAAGCTCCTTTTGCCAAAATAACCACTGTGTTATTTGTAAGGACACCTTGGTTTTAAATAACAAATTCAGGGTGATCTCCTCCTACAGTGCCCGGTTAGGAAGCACCAGGGTGCCACCCTCACTCACACAGCTCTCATGACAGCACATGTAATGCTCATGAAAGGCAAATGCTTCGATACTTCTTGCCTGTTGCAAAGACAGATGAAGTGCATCACGAAATGCTCCAGTCAGATCACTGCCCTGGTTATGGTGCCTCACCCATAACTCTGCTTTATACTAAACAGAGACTGTAGAGCCCCTGAATCCACACAGCAGTTTTGTGACACCTGCTACAGCTTCAGTAGAGAACTCACAAAACTTGTGACTGATACTGATCTGACACAGAAATTAAGAGACTGACGTCTCAAGCCATTGTTTCACCTACCATCACTGAAATATGTATAAGTGAATTAAACAAACATTTCTACCAGCATGATCAGACCCAGCAAATAAGCTGTGTTTGCCTTAATACCACATTCTGAGGAAATGCAGAAGTTTTAAAATTCTTACAGACAATTTAATTAGTGAGCTGTTAAATAAAAGAAATGAGAAAGACTGCAGAGAGTTGGTTGGCATCCATGTCAGATGGGGTCAGGAGGAAAAATGGTAAAAAACACGTATCAATTTCAGACTAGTTAAGTAGCATTCACTGGAGTAGATCTGGTGAGCTGGAGCATTTGTAGAAGTTTGGGACTTGAAGCACTGACTCAAGGCAAGACAGAGCATGTGTAGGTGAGGAGCAAGCTTCAGACAAACTTCTGACCCATGCACCTCAAGAATGAATTTTATCTCTGCTGCTCTTCCAGTCCTGTACCAAGAAAAACTGCATGGTGGTTTGTGATGCAGTCTGAATTCAGTGAAAAAAATTCCATCTGGGATCTGAATTGCACTGAGATGCAGATTTCCAGAGATGGTTTAAAACACCAAGTTGACAAATTCCACAGTCCTACAGGTTTACTTGGTTTCCCCATTATCCTCATTTCTTTATTCCAATGTGACTTTGAAATGAGGGGAAGAAGTCTTCGGAAACATGTTGGGCACATGTTTTCAAATACTCCTGATAAGAATGTCAATAATTTTTTCTGTCATCCAGACACTGCATTTAAAAAAAAAATTTACAATATACTTTAACAGTTCTTATATACCTAAAATACACAATACCATATGTTCCTTTAAGGTCTCTCTTATTCCAAGTCTTGTTAACCTTCAATCTAGTTGCTTGCTGCCTTCTGATTTCTGGTCCAGCCTGCTCTTGTTGTTCTTCACCATGTAGATGAAATATGCAAGTGTCTCCTTCTCATTTACCGGAATATTCCTGAAGTGACGACTGACAGTCTGGAAGGACAACATGTAAAGAGACAGAAATGCTGAAATTAAACAGTAGAAATAACTAGAATGGGGTTTGTCTTCACTTTCCAAAACCAATTTTACGGCCACTGAGCACAATATACTTTTAGTCAAACATGCACCGATTCCAACTGTCAGTCCTCATTTACCTCCCTCTCTCTTTACAGCTGGAATGTGTGTATGAACATAGCGTAGTCTTGCTGTGTCAGCAGGATTTGCAGCCAACCTAAAAGTGGAATTTGGAAGCCAGAATGTCCTCCTGCCAAAGCAGCACAGCTCCTCCTGAGCGACAGTTCATGCCGAGATTATTTGGCGAGCAAGTTTTCTCTGCACCTCCGTGTTTTAAAGGAGAGCGTAGGAAACACTGCAACACTTTGCTATGTGAACCAGATGTAGCAAAGTTTTATCCAGAGAGCTCTCCTTTGGACTCTAAGTTTTCACTGAAAGGAACACCAGCGAATTTGCACTGGCAGGGTTAGGATTTGGTGAGGGCTACCCCTCTCTGACACTGTCATAGGCCCTGAACCATTATCTGCTTTTTCCGCAGAAAATGAACGTAGAAAACATGTTGAAGCTGGATGAAATCTGCTTATCACATGGAAGAAGTTGTTTTTTGGTACCAAACACAGCTCCAGAACTGGATTTTGATGCAGGCTGAGCAATAAGTCACTCCAAAAAGATTTATGGAAGTCTGAGTTTTCCTTACGGTGGGATAGCAGCAGGAGTCTAAGAGCCTCAGGCAGCAGTGATTCAAGAATGGGAGCTGGACGAGGATCCAGCGTAGGGTCAAAGCTGCTCAGACTCCACAGGAAATCTGGGAAGTGTGTGACAACTTTAAGTTAGGCTCCCTTTATTTTCTGCTTGCATAGTAGTTGATCTTTGCTTTCCTCTTGGGAACATTCATGGTAAATTCCCTAAGCAGGTAGTCCTTCAAGGCAGGAGGCAGCTGACAGACTATGAACTGCTTAGTTGAACATGACAAATCAGAACTACTAACGAGGAATACCCTCACCATGCTTTCTTCAACTTACTCCTACAGCCACTACACTACGATTTCTCTATATTCTGTATATTCACTCCCTAGGTGACTTTGAAAGAGAGAAAGACAGTGTCTTGCTGACTTTTTTGGTCTGCTGGTTTTTGTTCTTTAAAGCAAGAGTAAAAGCAAAGTGGACAGTTTTAGGTAGACAGCTGTGAAAACCACAACTTACAAAATCAACCTCGCTACCGTTCAGTAACTGCTACAGCTTTTTCAAGTTTAGAGAAGACTTTTCTAACAGCATGTCATCAGATCAAGTCAGGAAAGAGCAGAGCAGATGCACACCAAGCACAGTTCACCCAAATAACACAGAGATACAGAGAGTTCTTTCTGTACAAGTACCCATATGGTGAGAAAGCAGCAGCAGAGGCCCTTAAGGAAAAAGTCTTTTATTGACTTAATATAGAATAATCAGGACAAGGGAGGGAAATAAGGAACCTGAAGTCACGGTCAATGATTCTGCCTTTAACAATAAGCAATTCCAACCAGTTCAAATGCCTGTGAGGAAAGAAAAACTAACAGGGGCACTTAGGGAGACCAGTAGTGTATAAGTCTGAGTTTCAGTCAAACAGCCATCTCCAGATCACACCCAGGCCACAGAAAACGGGTTCTGTTCCTGCTCCCTAAAGGTCACTGATTATGACTATAAACAAGGCAGGAAAGGAAGCAGAGACAAGCCAAGTTACTAAAACATGCTGTCAAGAGCCAGCTTCCATGCCTTCCATGCCTGTCCCAGGTGAAAGCAGCTTTCTGTTGGCATCATCCCCTGAAACCCTTCACAGAGCACTCGGTACATACCAGTGAGTCGCACAGGTATGAGTGTCCACAAAACATGCACTTGAAAAGAGGAGATAAGAAGTTTTTTAATAACAGAGATAACACCACCTCTGTCATCACTTACTTCTGCAAGCTGAGCCTTGTTGAGTCCAGGCCTAGTCTGCAACTTGTAATGCCTCTTGTAACGTCTCAGGGTGTTCACTTGGAGCTGGAACAAGTCAACCTGCAAGTGATGCAGAGAAAAGGGGATGAGCACTACCTTTAGTTTCTATGAGTAGTTATTTTATCTAAAAATAACTACTTCCTCAACAGGACTGCTCTTTGCCTGCATTCAGAACCACACTGGTTTGTTTTACTGACAAACCTCAGTATATTTTGTATTTGTTAATGCTAAAGGACCAAAATAGCCTCAGGGAAATAGAAAATTTTGTTCTGGTTCACATGCTGTCAACAGAATTGCTGGCCAATTTCTGCTCTCAATTACACCTCTGCAACCTCCAAGCAAAGGGGAACCTTTTGTTCCCACAAGGTTTAAAAAGCTCACACATGAAATATCAATTTAGCAGGCATTGAACAAATGGCTTGCGACATAAAACAGAGCACAGAGATGAAATGAAATTCAAATACTTAAATGGGAAGTGCACAGTTTAAAACCAAAGGGGGTGGTAGGGAGGTTACAGGAAGAAAGATGAAGATCATGTGGAAAATGCCAAGTTTCAAAGACAAAAGGAATCTGTGCTGAAAAACAAGAGGAAAATTACATTAAAACTGACATGGTGCAGAGTTCCCTGTTGGAACTCTGCTGGGTGATGTGCATCCCTCAGGTTTAAGCCACCAAATACCCTCTGTGTTCTACAGCACCATTTTTAGATGCCCGCTGGGTCCTCATCAATCACCTTGGCAACTACAGTAAAGCCTGAATAGGAAAGTTTTGATAGAGAACCTTGAATGGAAACATCAACAGCGATAACAAAAGGTCAGGTATCCTTAAAAAAACCACCACACCAAAAACTTGCTACTCTTTCAACACCTCCACAAAGGAAACGTGTGCGTACAGCTTTGCACCAAGGCACAGCTTTGCTGGCAAAATGACTCCTGGTGGCTTTCTCCCTCCCCCCCTCCCCAGAAATAAAAGGTTCTTTGCCAATAGGGTTGGCATTTCCAGCAGAGGGCTCTGCTGACGTGGCCACAGCTCTGCTTCTCCCGATTATCACCTCTGCGCAACTTTTTGTGGTGTCTACAGTACCCAAAACATCACTGAGGCAAATACAGCACACAGTGGCACAGAGAAGGGATTATTCTAGAGTTCTGTATCACAGAAAACCTCCCCCAGGCCTATTTCCTGAAAATAAAAAGGTGTTACAAACTATTTAGAGGTAGTTTTAAATAGTCCCCAAAAATACCATATATGCAAAGGTCTGGAGAAGGTCAATATCCCTGGATATCAAATACCCAATCAAAGAGAGTGACCTATTGAATTCTCTAGTGTATTTGGAGAATGATGCATCCTAAGGAACAAAGAATCATACTGGAGCCTCAGACGCCACCAAAAATAACTTGTTTTTACCTTCAAAAAAGAATTAGGACCAAATACAGCTTTAACTGTACATATATGAAGCTGTACAGTTACCTTGTCACACGTCCTTTTATAGAAAACCTTACATGGGCAAAGAACTCATATAGGAATGAAGAAGAAAATTAGGACATTACACATGAGAAAAGAGTCCTCCTGGAAAGTGAGAGTAACTCTACAGCAGCTTCAGTGGAGTTGCAATTTAAAATGTAAATATTTTCCGATACATGAAACCATTCAAGTGAAACTTCAGCATGCTCAGAATTGGTAAAGCAGCCCACAAACCTCTGGAACATCCGTGTCATGCTCAGGAGAGTCACCTCCATCATCGCTCGTCTTCCTCTTCCTTTTGTTTCGCACACTTTGAATGAAGTTCTTGTGAAAATCACAAATATACAGATGTCTCACCTAAGAACAGAAAGAGCAGTCAAAACAGGTTCTGTGAAACAGCATCCAACAGCAGCCATTTAGACACCAGTATCAGAGTCCATCCCCATGACTGGTGTGACTGACTGCCTTAAGGAATTTCTAATCTTAAACCCCAGGCCTGATATCAGGCTCTTGAGTTACAAATAATTTACATTACAAAGACTAAAGGCAAAGAAAATTGAGGACTCGAGCTCCACCTGAACTTGAACCTCTGCAGATAATACATTTCTTTTTAATGGTTGCAATCATATGTCAGAAAAAAACAGGTCCTTGTCTGGAGGAAGCGCATTTGCTTCAGGACTTACCATCAGCTAACTACTAAGAAAAATATTAATCTGTTCCACTCTTGTGAACTTTTTGGTTTGAATAGTACAGAAGATTATTAATGCAAATGTTTCAACACCTTGACCAAATAAAAGTTGGCTAATTACCTCAAATAGAATAAAAAACCCAAAAGCAGAGCTATCTCTTTCCTACTGCTTGTTCAGCCATGGAACACCCCTTTTAACAAATATTATCTCACTAGAGTTAGCAAAACAAAGGACCTCAAGTGATCAAAATCATCTGGTATCTGTAAGGTTAAAATATCTTCAGATGACACAGGCAACCTACATTCGAAATCTCTCCATGCAGCCTCGCTTCACACTTTCCCTTTGTTCTGAGTTCATTAGTCTGATCTCCCCTTTTTGTTTTCTAAAGCCTTACATCTGTCAACAAAGACTCATTTCTGAAATGCAAGAAATTACTATGCCACTAGGCCAATCTGCTGAGGACTACGGCGAGGACAAATACTCCATTTTTTTAAGAATATGTTTCAAATTGAGTCACTCTCTTTCCGTGACACGATGCGATTCAGCTGTGCAGAAGGGACCCAATCAACCGGGTGAGCTGCCAAACAGACTGACTCAAAACTTCAGCTTTTTTTTTTTCCCCCTTTGTTTTCAGCGGTTTTTATCTTTAAAGATCCGGTAAGAAAAGCGTGGAGAGCTGGATTCCGTTAAGCGAGTCACTTCTGAGAAATTCCTTCGGGCTGCTCTGCTCTACCTATTTCTCTGCTGGGTGAACGACCCGCTTCTCTCTAGAGCTGACAGCCGTCACTTGATGTCACTAAGCACCAAACTGGGCTGTTTGGTGTGCGAACAAGCCCTGCTGAGGCGGCATCACATCTCGCCGCCAGCTCATCTTTTAACCTGCTTCGCTACAGCACCAATTCCTACCAATTAAAGCAGCAGCGTCAGCGACGCCTCGCTGAAGCACCGAGTGCTGTTTTCACCTGACAAGCGCCAGCGTTTCCAACCCGAAACCGCAATGGAAACAGCGTCCCTGCCTCCGGAGCACGGGCAGCTCGCTCAGCATCGCCCGCCTCCCAAACACGGTGTTTTGTGTTTCACGCATCACGAGACTCGCCGTGCCACGGGGAAAAGCCGCGTCTGTAGCGGGGGAAAAGCCGGTTCCGCATCCAGGCACGTCCTTCCCTTTCCCGAGCGCTGGATGGGGAAACCGCGGTCCCGTTTGGCCGTGTTGGCCGCTCACAGCCCCGCACCTCGCCCCATCTCCCCGAGGGGCAGCACCGAACCCCCCCGGGCAGCCGGAGCCCAACTCGCCGGGCGGATCCGCCGCTCCCCGGAGGCTCCGCAGTGCGGTGGCGGCTGGGGCCGGCCCGGCCGCCCCTCCGGGGGGCTCGGCGGCCCCGGCGGGAGGCCGCACTCACTCACACTTTTGTCGATGTCCAGCTTCAGCTTCTTCTGCGAGATGCTCTTCTGGATCCTCTTGCTGAAGGACGCGTTGCCGGCGGGGCGCACGCAGCGGTCCCCGTCGTCGATGAGGCAGCAGCTCTGGCCGTAAAAGGGGGCGGCGGGCGGCCCATCCCGGCTGTCCTCCTCGGTGCTGAACCCATTCATCGCCCACCTGCCCGCCCCTCACCCCGCGCGGGGAGCCGACAACCGGGGAGAGGGGGGGAAACGAGCCGCGCCGTCACCGCCGCGCCCTCGGGGGGACCCCGCCGCCCCCGCGGGGGCCCCCCAGCCGCGGCAGGGAAGGGGACCCCCCTGGGCCGCCGGCGCTCAGCGCTGCCCGCGGGGCCGGGCCGGGTCGGGCCCCCCAAGCGCCGCCGCCCGCGGGGAGCCGGGACCGCGCAGCGCCCGCACACACAAAACCGCCTCCCCGGCCGCGGAAGTCCCGCCCCCCGGCTCGCAGGCGCCGCTCCCATTGGGCGGGGCGCACAGAGGGGCGGGGCGCCCCGCGCCGCTCCGCGCGCCCATTGGGCGGAGGAGCTGCCCGTCAGCCGCCACCGCCCCGCCCCCGCGGCCGGAAGGTCGCCGTGAGGGGCGCGGAGGGAGCGGTGGGTCCGGGTCCGGCCCCCCCGGCCCTGGGGGGACCCGGTGGCTCCCGTCGGGCCGGACTGGGCCCTGCGGGACGAGAAGGGAAGCGTCCCGGCCCCGCCGGCATTCGGGCGTCCCCTGCTCCGCAGAACCGCACGGGACTCCCGCGCCCAGCCACGGGACTGCGGGTTCCTCCAGCCGGCCGGGGCTGAGCCGGAACCGCTCCTGGAACAGCCGAACCTGTGACAGACCTGAACCTGCGGCCCTGGGACACAGCTCAGGTCGGCACAGCCGCAAATGCCTGTTCTTGGATACAGCGTCATGTAGGCAAGAGTTCCTGGCTGAAATATAATTTTTTTATATTACAAGATTATATATTGTAAGAAATGTATGTTTTCCCTTCTTCCCCCTCCTCCCCCCGATTACAAGGCAGGGATAGTGAGAGGATGGGACCTGGAAAGAGTTTCCCAAAGCAATGTGACTTTAAGCTTCACATTTCTTTCATCTGCAGGAAAAAACCCCAAAAAACCCCACAAACCCAAAAAAGTAAAAAAGGGGGAAGAAAGGGGGAAGAGAAGTGTGTGTGTGGGGAGGAGGAATCTGATCTGTGAAGAAAAGATGTACCTTCTGGAAACGCCACAACCTCTGTAATACCAGACAGCAAATCCCATTGTCAGAGGCGCGTGAGCAGCAATAAAGGGAAAAGGATTTCATCCTCCTCAAGAAAAGACTCTGCACAAGCAGAAGAAAGGTTCTGTAGACTAAAATTACTTCAGTCTGAAATCCTGCCCGTGGAACAATGTGCCTGAGCACCGGGTGAACTGTGCTGAATCACACACACAAAATACCTTTGCAAGAAAGACTCCTTAAAGCCCTTGGTCATCTGCTCAGGCTGCCCCACAGTAACACTGACAGGCACCTTGCAACCTGTTCTGCACAAGACAATTGAGAAAAGCCAAAATCTATATTTTCTAGGCATTCTTTACACTGCCAAACATGTCTCAGAATAAATGTGGAGGGGAGGGACTTAATACTCCTCAACAGTTCTGCCTCTTGTCTTTGCTTTTACTGCTGGTGCCCTCAGGCAACTGGTAGTTTCTGTTTGTCCATGTGACTGGTAGGGAACCACAGTGCACCCTCCTGGGGACAGGCTCCCAGGAGCTGGCAGTTCTCAAGGGAAGCTGATGAAAACAAATTAATTTACCCACAGACCAACAAGCAGTTAGTGAAGAGCAAAGTGATTTAAATAAGCAAAAGGCCACTGCTTATAAAAGCCCCAGGCCAAACTGCTTGGGATCTGCCTGCCTGAGTTAATATCCTCCTGGCAAAACCAGATAGATATTCCCTTGTTTTGGGGAAAGAGTAAACACAAAAGGCTGAGAGTGATCTTGGACCTCCTGATACCAAGCTTTCCAGGTTTATCTTAACATTACCAATAAAGATCAAATGGCAGGCTGAGGAAATCTTGCAGAAGGACTATCTTGACACTCAGCTGTAAACACAGACTGTAGGGACAGGTGATAATAGGAGCACACGAGATAAAAGGGAACATGACCATAACAGGTGGGACTTCCTCCTGTCCCCATGGGGACAAGATTCTGCAGGTGGTCCCTGGACTATCCTGTGGCAATCAGGAATGGCTGGAGAAACAGGCACCATAAGTGCCAGAACAGGTTGGTACTGACCATCAGATTGTATTTCTTCTTGGGCTGCAACCTCTCATCCCTGCAAATGAAAAGATTTTAAGTCGTTTTGCAATCCCCAGTAGAAGGAAAAACCCTGGTTTTGTCTCTTTGCTAATTCAATGTTAATTACCTCCCTTCTCAGGCTAACACCATGACACCTTTTTACAGTCTTTCAAAATAAAAAAAAAAAAGTGCATGGAGGTGTTTTTATAATTGCAGTTTATTTCAGCGTATTTATCCTCATGGGAACCTCCAGATTTCACAGTCTGCTAGTCCGGAACAAGCTTGCTGTGAAATAAACTGCCTCATAGAGACATTCTTTATTGGGTATCTATCACTAACCTGATCCAATAATTCTTTGTGGGAGCTGCAATGAAGTGAGAAACAATGTTTCATAAACCCATCAGCACCCAGGCAGCTTTAGTGCCTCTGAAGCGGTAATGGCCTGCCCATCCCAGTCACCCTCTAATCAAATTAGGGGAACCTGCACTAGCCTGTAAATCTCACCTGGAGCAGCACTACTCTCTAAAGATAAGTCCGTGGTGTAGCTGTCATGTGGAACTTACTGTTTTAATGGAGCCATTCGGGGAGCTTGGGACAGAAATGCTTCTCTCCAAACGGTCTGTGCTGCTGGAGATGCCCTGGGAAGCTGCCTTTTTAAAATTTTTTTGTACTCCCAGTCAGAAATCAGACCATTTCCTTTCTCGGCACCTTGAGGGCCAATGGAAGCACTGCCCTGGCACCTTTCCCTGGACTCCCACTCTCCTCAGCACTTTTCTAGGGTGGCACATATTGAACCTGCTAAAATGCTTAAACTGTCACAGCTTTTGGCACATACTCACCCTGGGCAACGTTCCCATGGCCAAGAATCACAGCACAGCCTTCCCGGGGGAAACAGTTAACCTTGCAGTTATCTGCTGGTCCCCCCAGAAAGAGCCTTTCCTTTCCCTCACACAGGCTCATTTTCCCCACACGTAGATCTTCACACATTTCATTGCTTGTCTCCCATCCGTTTTTCCCACTGTTTTTCACCCAAAGGAGTTAAGTAAAAAGGAGTGCTGAGAAGGCTGCTGAAGAAATGAAGTGGTGACAGTAGAAAGCACTGAGGGTCCTAGTGGGAACATGAGCAATGCTGAGAAACTTCCCTTGTCTTGGGCCAAGCCCGCTCTCCCCACATGGAGATCAGAACACAAACAGGGCCCTGAGCTGTTAAAGCCCTGCAAACCAAGGTGTGGGATGGATCTCCCAGCAGTCACTCCCAAGGCAGACAGGCACAGAAAGGACAATGACAGCTGGGTTTTCTCCACTCCTCTGTGCTTCCCAGTGTGCCCTACCAAGTACTGTCCATGGCAACTATCCCTCAGGGGTACAGGTTCTACCTGGGCACAAATCATCCAGCACAGCCATGGTCCATCCAGGACAGTACCCCTGGGCACCTACTTGCATGAACATGTCTCCTCCACGTCTCCTCCAGCTTTGTCCACTCCAGCTTTGTCCACATCTTATATTTCTCCTCATGTCTCCTCCTCTCGTGGCTGCCACTTGCTCTTCCTTCAGCTCTGAGCTGAGGTGCTGCAGGATCCCCTGCTGGGCTGTAGTTCTGGGACATGATGGATTGTTCCCATCGGTTTCAGAGCTGCTGGGAAGCAGCTGTGAGAGGCAGACACAGAGCTGCCCCTGGCTGCCTGAGCCTCCTTGTACACCCAACACAGCACTCGGGCATGAGCTCCTTGGCTGTTCGTGTGTACACACAGCAAATCCTGTGCTCTATTCCCAATGCAAAGGGCAGCCAGGAAGGATGCTTCCCAAGGGGGCTGGAGGACACCAGTGTGTGGCACAGCAGGAAGCCTGTGTTGGGGAAACACCCGACCAGGGATAACTGAGCTTATAAATAGAGAGAAGAGAAACACATCACTGGAGCAAAACAGGCAGGGACAGTCACGTCTGCGCACACAGATTTCAGAAAACACATTAAAAATTTATTTTAAATATATTATAAAAGGAAGTCCATTCAACTTTAAAAACACTAGGCATTCTATCAATGATTTCCAATTTATGAAAGCTACTACATTAAAGTGCTACAAGTCCTTTACCACCCCCAGATATTAGGCTGTTGGTCCTAATATGCACAAAATAAATACACACTGATTCAAGAGGCACCATCCAGTTTTACAGAGAAAATGCATGCAGTACAAGGAACAGACAAACTTAGACCTAATCACTGAGATCCTGGAGAATGCATTTTGAAACCAATTCCCTTCTCCACCCTAGAGGCTAAAGCTATTTGTTGTTGTTATCATAAGGGCTAAGGTTTCAGGCTAGTAGCTTGACCAGTTTTTATCTTGTTTTGTGGTTGAAGTTCACATTTCCTTGCTCACTAATTGGGATTAGGACTTTTTTCAACTAGAGTTGAACTAGCATAGTTAAGACCACATAGATCCAGTGGCTTTATATAAAACTCCCAAATCCCTCACATCTGCTGGAATCACTGAAGTCTTTTGAATATACAGAAGCAACAAGAAAGCTCAAAATGCAGAAAGTAAAGGAGTGTACTCAGCTAGCAGAGTCAAAAACAGTCATAGGCTTTTTCTTAGGTTTTCCATAATCTATCATTGCCTAGTTCCACACAGACCTCCAAGCTAAAGTGTGGCACTACTAAGGAGCAATTGGAGCAGGACTTGAGAGTTTATTTCAGTTACACTTTAAATTTATGATGTCAATAAATCAATCTGAACGGTTAATGAGGAATATGAAATGAGTTGACAAGTCTGTGTTGAATGCCGATGGAAATTTCGGGTCTCATTTCCCATTCTCCACCCATTGCATCTCTCCTCTCCACTTGAACCAGGTGAGGACTTGCAGCTTGATTTAAAATCTGGACTCAACACTCATTAGGTCAGAAAATAAAGCACTTAAAGGTAAATCCCACACAAGCTGGGAAATTGCAGCACACAGAATTTCGCTGCTTAAGATCAAGTAACAGGCCACAGGAGCCTGGGAGCAGAATTCAGTGCTCCTGACTCCCAAGCTAGCTCCCCTTTGCTGTGTATCCTGTGAAACCACACAGTTTATCCATGAACCACGGGAGTTGGGAGTGGATGTGGGATGCAAGGTACACGTGCAGTGCTTGTGCTGGCAGAGCCAGGCTGTTTCAGACATGGCTTTACCAGGGCTATTTTGACTAGAAGCATGTCAGGTTGACTGCCTGAAAACCATTCAAGTGCCTGTCCATATCTTTGAAAGACAATTTAAAATATAATCTTCTCCCTTTTCAATCAGCAGTTCCACGATTGCCCAATATGGCTTTTAGGAGATCTCTCCCCAGGGTGATGTGAGCCAGCAGAGCTGCTGTGACAGCCCTGCAGCAGCCCCAGAGCACTGTGCTCTTGCAATGCTGGTGGTGCCTGTTTGACTCTCAGTATACAGATCTCAGTGCAGCAGGGGAGGAGGAAAGTTTGCTGACTGGAACTCTCCAGTAAAGGAGAGCAAAGCCCTGTGCACAGGCTGCTGTAAAACCAACCAGGAAGAAAGTCAGGATGAGAAATTGCTTTCTTGCTACTTCTGTATTAGAGCTGTTAACACACCCTTTAAAAAGTTTCCCACTGATGGAAGGCATCGACTTTTTCTGAAAGACACTTCTGGCTACAGATTTTATATGCTTTTGGGACTATTTGTGATTTGCATACTTAGAAAATAAAATGCAGGATCCTGCATGCCAGTGAAATCATGAGCCTTCACCATGAGGTGAAACATCCAACAGGTAACCCAAGACATCCTCCAGCTTAGCTCCAGTTGCTACAGCGTGCCAAGAGGAAGCAGCCATCCTTTCTAAGTCTTCCTATTAGGACTGACAACATCCCCTCGAGTCATTAACGATACTGATTTAACAGAGGAAACCCAGGAGCTTCTGAATTACTGTCGTTCACACAAATTTTGCACTGAAAGTCAGACATTTTAAAAAAACACACACAAACACTGCACAAGTCAAGCTTTCTCTTACATCCTTATCTCCCAACTCCTTCCCCTCTGCTCTCTTGTCCAGCAAGGCACTAGGAAATGGTTCAAGTTTAAGCATTTGCTGTACATTTACATTTAAAAAGGCACATCTTTATTTTAATGACGCTGTATTCCCCTTTCGGGGAGGCTCCCACATTCTTCTCTTGTGGTGTGGAAAAGGAAGTTAATTTCCCAGGTATGAGAAAAGACACCTTGCACACGAGAGCCCCAAACCTATTTACTGTCTGTAAGCCTTAGAGATTAGCACCAGTAGAGATCAACAACAGCTTCAAGAGCAAATCAAAGTATTTTTATGCAACGCAACACACACCCAGGGATCCCTCTGTTGTCTCGGATTCTGATAC